GAGCACCACCTCCACTTCTTCGTGTGCGGGGGGAGGGCGAGGGCTCCCCCTTGTCCGCCCCCCTCCCCCCACCTGGCGTCGTTTTCGCTGGGCATCGCTCTACCACTTGCTTGATCCGGGCCCCCCGCAAGTCTGGACCCCTTCCCCAGGGCCGGCTTCTCGGCCCAGGGTAGTTTGTTCACAGTCCTGAGGCCAGGCGAGGGCCCCCCGAGACCAAAGACGACCGAAAATCTTCCATCGCGACTTTTCGTGACGCGAGCATTTCCGCCCTCCCCTCCCCCTCCTGACTTTTCTGCTCTGAACTTGTTCCCTTGGTGCCCGCGCAGATGACTTCTAAAAGCACTCTGCCAGCTGCAGCGACGCCCACACGTGACAGCCAGATGGTTGTTCAACACGCGTGCAATCCAAAATCCCCCTCCTGCCTCCAGCCCGCAGGTCGGCGGGGATCCTGCGCCCCTTGAGCTCCGTCTCGGCGAGCGTGTCGATGGCCCGCTGCACCTCCTCGTCGGTGGCGAAGCGCACGCAGCCGGCGCCCTTGGACCTGCCCGTGGCCGTCCCAGCCTCCCAGGAGGGGGAGGAGGAGGAGGAGCAAGTCCGTGAGCGAAAAACACAGACCCCCTTGAGCTATAGAAAAAAACGCTACGGAGGGTATGTGACAGCTTTCGGCAAAAACGACTCAGAATGAAAAGCAGGTCCCGGGGAATGGGTCGAGACCTCTGGGGGGGGGGGGGGGGGCACGTTGCGAGAAAGAAAGAAAACAAAAAAACAACAACAACAACAAAAAAGTCAGGTGTCTGGCGAGTGAGGAAGACGCATCGCCGCGCGAGTCGAAAACAAGCTTCGAAAGCCTGCGGGCGAGCTTTTCGGCCTTGCTGGGAACATTCGCCCATCTGTCGGAACGAATCTGGCTTGAGCGCTCGCTTGAATTAGCAGTCGGCGGCACCGTGAAACACTGTTGACCATAACAGTGTTGCTAGTTCAGCTGGCGCAGAACAACAACAGCTTTGAGCGATTAGCATACACATCTGGTGACTAGTGTATACCCACCACCCCCCTAAGCGCCACCTAACCCCCAATGGCAGAGCAAAGAAACGGCCATCAATATTATGGCGTTGAATACAAGGGGGTGGCTCCATCCACTCGGCCATGGGGACTTCGTCGCTGAACTCTAGCAGACGCCGCGTTACCCGGCACAACCATCAACTGTGCGCTGGGGAAAAGAGGGGAGAATTAGCGGGGACGAGGAGGACAGAGGAAGAGAAGGAGGAGGGAGGAGTGAGGAGGGGAGGATAGGGAGGAGGGCGGACGAGGAAGGAGGATGACAGAGTAGGAGGGAGAAGGGAAGGTTGAGAAGAGGAGAAGGACGGAGGAAGAAGGGCGATACCCGCATTTTGAACACCACCGTCCCCCCGTCATTGTAATGTAACTGTTGGAGCGGGTTTGAGACTCAGGGTGATAAATTGCACGGACGTGTGTAGCAAAACGCTCGGCTCGGCCTTCGGACACGTCTCGTGGTAAGACACAGGGGAGCTAGCTATAAGGAGGAGGGATGCCGGAGGAGGAGGAGTGATAGCGCGACAACGAGAGGGACGAGGGAGAATGATGGAACATGCAGGAGGACGAAGAGGTGCACGATCAGAAACAGGAATAGGAATTGAGGAGAAAGGAAAGGAACAAGGATAGGGAGGAGGGAGTGGGGAGGGAGGAGTGAGAAGGACGATGAGGATGAGTGGAAGAAGGAGCGAGGAGGAAGTTGAGAAAGTGAGGAGGAGAAAGTCAGGAAGAGGAGGGAGTGGAAATGAGGAGGATAACGAGGAGGAGGAGGTGGTAAGAAGGAGGACACGGAGGACGAGTGACGCACATCAGAAAAGCAAGGAGGAGGAGAGTTGGAGGACAAACATGAGGGTGATGACGAGGGGGAGGGGGAGGGGATGGGAGGAGCAGGGGTGGGGGGAGGTCGCGGGGGGAGGGGCGCGGAGGGAGGGGATGAAGGGGCAAGGGCGAGGATGGGGATAAGGACAAGGATGATGATGAGGAAGAGGAGAGAGTAGGGAGTTGGGAGGTCCTCATCCTCCTCTTCCCGTTTCTCCTCCCCGTCTTTCCCATCCTGCGTCCCCCTACCCCCCCGTCTGCGCCGACTCTGTTGGGAACCCCCTCCCCCCAGGCTCTGGAAGGCTCGCGCCGAGGCCGTGGGGCCTGCCGTAGTCGGTGCCGTCGTCGGTGAGGATGCTGCAGAACTCGACGCTGCCCGCTTGCTTCATGTGGTCTTTCAGGTCCTGCCGGACGGAAATGGCTAGCAGCAGTACAGTCGGGACGTTGACCTAAGGAACCCTAAATAAGGAACGAGGCCCCTTGTTTCCACAAGTTAAACTTCGATGCCCTATCAAAAACATGAGGGAAACCTGAGGCAAGCTGTGAAACACTTAAGGAACGCGGAGCCCCTCCCCAACGAAAAGGGTTCCTTCTTCAGGACCCCGACTGTGGCAGCAGGAATCAGAGCATGTGCAGGAGCAGGAGAATGTCAGTACGCAGACGGTGGCCTCGAGCTCCGCCACCTTGCCTCTGGCAGAACCCCTGCCGCGTGCCCACGGGTCGTTGAAGGCCACGAGTCAGCATCCGCGCCCCATGGCACGTTGGGGCGGCATGCCATTGTCATGCCAAGTGTTGCCTGGTATGGTTCTCAACCATCATGCTGCGTGGTGCCCTCGTTCTGAATCCGCACCGCCCCGCGTCCCCCTCCTCCTCATCATCATCATCATCATCCTCCTCACCTCCTCCTCCCAATCCTCCCTCACTCCTCGGCCCACCGCATGCCCACTTCGGCACACCCCTGGGACGTGCCGAGACCCCACGAGAAGCTCCACCGAAGCCCCCAGGGAGTGGTGCCACATAGCGCCCCCCAGCCAGTTTCGGCACACACACACACACACACACCTTACACGCCTCGTGGCCCCACAGTGAGCTCCACCGAAGCCCCCAGGGGGTGGTACCACATGGCGCCCACCAGCCAATTTCGGCGCACACACACACGCACACACACCTCACACGCCTCGTGGCCCCACAGTGAGCTCCACCGAAGCCCCCAGGGGATGTTACCGCATAACATCTACCAGCCAATCCCGGCACCACTCACACGTTTCGTGTCCTCACAGGGAGCTCCACCAAAGCCTCCAGGGGGGGGGGGCGGGCCGCGTACTCCAGATCCTTCAATAAACACCCCCCCGTGCCAACCTGTCCGATGCCCCTTGCCCGCCCCCCCACACGCCCCAAACCCACCCCCTCTCGCTCCCCAACCTCCCCACGCCCCCCGAAGGACAGCGGTTTCCCACACCCCGCGCGATCCACCCCCCCACGCTTATTGAGAGACCTGGAGTAGCGTCACCCAGAAAATCCTGGCACATCCTCACACGCGTCGTGGCCCCACAGTGAGCTCCACCGAAGCCCCCAGGTAGTGCCGCACAGCGTCCCCCAGCAAATGGTTCGGCACGCTTCGTGGCCTCATATGGAGTTCCACCGAAGCCCCCAGGGGGTGATGCCGCACAGCGCTCCCCCGCCCATTTTGGCACACCCCTCACATGTTTCGTGGCCCCGCAGGGAGCTCCATCCGGGGACTCAGCTAGCCCGACCGCAAGGCACCCACCTAGCCCACTTCGGCAGCTCGGCACACTCGTCACACGCTGCGTGGCCCCACAGGCAGCTTCACCTACCGCTGTCTCAGTGCGTGCCGACGTCGTACAACGGCACCACGCCATTCTGGCACACCCCGCACACGCTTCGTAGCCCCATAGGGAGCTCCACTTACGGCCTCAGCGGCAGGTTTCGCATGGCAGCGGCGCCCATTTCGGCACCCCCCTCATACGCTCCGCTGCCCCATAGGCAGCCCCCCCGTGCGGCCCCAGCGGGGGGATCCGCTTGGCGGCGCCCTCCCGAGCCGAGCTCCTTACGGAGCTGCCCATACGGCCTGAGTGGAGTGCCAGCATGGCGGCGCCGTCCATTCCAGCGCACCCTTCACACGCGCTGTGGCACACCATGGCACTACACGTGCGGCCCATGTGGGAGAGTCCACATGGCGACGCCGCCAATAATCAACTCAGGCCCCCACAAGGACCGTGGCCCCATGAGGAGCTCCAACTACGACCCCAGTGAGGGGGGTCCGCATGGCGGCACACCTCTCACGCGATCCGCGCCACCATAGGATCTCAACCTACGGCCCGTGGGAAAGCGTGCACGCGCAAGTCCGCCAAATTTCGGCACACCCCTCAGGCGGGCCCCGCGTACGGCCCTAGTGCGAAAGTGTGCATGGTTTCCCGGCGCATGTCGACGTACCCGCTCACACGCTTCGCGCCCCCATTCGGAGCTCTACACACGGTCACAATCAGAAAGTTGCATGTGTTCCCCAATCAATTTCGACACATCCCTCACACGGGCCTTCCGTAGAGAGGTCCATCACCAGCGTTACATGAAGCTACTCAGGGTTGAGTCTGTTGCCAGGCTAGCTCTGTAAAGTTCTCCAGAGCCCCGCCCCCACAAACATCTTCCCGACGCTCTCATGGCCGCCTGACGCCTTCCTGCCGGCCTCCAGAAGCCTCCTCGACGTTCTTGCTCACCAGCCTGACGGGAGCACATTGGCAACGGGAAACACGGCGAAGAGACGGCAGACGAGGAGCGGGGACTCGAGACGCAGTGTCCTGCCAGGACACCTCGTAGGAGAGGTTACCGATGTAGACCAGGTTCTCGCCGTGCACCTGCGAAAGTCAAGACGAAGAGGGGTCGGGGGCAGGCCCCTGCCACCGACCGAGTGGCAGCGTGGAGCCTCGGAAGGGGCGGGGGGAAACGGAGCAAGGAGCGAAGCGCTGGGAGGAGGGAGTGGACAACGAGGAGGGGCAGATGGATGATTAGGAGGAGGAGGAGGAGGAGGAGAAGGAGGAGGAGCGAGGACTGGCGAGAGAGGGAGGAGGAGGAGGAGCAGGAGGAGGAAAGAGGGAGGAGGACGAGGAGGACGAGGAGGCTGGCGGTGAGGCGGGGCGCATGGACGAGGATCAGGAGGAGCAGAAGGAGGGAGGAGGAGGCTGGCGGTGAGGCGGGGCGCATGGACGAGGATCAGGAGGAGCAGAAGGAGCGAGGATGCACTGGGGGGGGGGGTAGGGATAGGGGACAGGGGGGGCGTGCACGGAAAACGGCCTCCCCGCCAAACATCCCCGGGTGGTGGCACGCGCGGGGAGGCTGCCCCGAGGAGACCCCGCCATGGTCCAGGGAAGCATTAAAACTGCACGAACGCACATGCGACGCACAGAGATATACTAGTACGATATGTCCTCCTCGGAGGCGCGCGTCCGACGCGAACACATGGTGGACCCATCTTGTCGTACATCGTCTCCCGAGCGGTGTGGCCAGAAAGATCCCGCCACGGGGCATGTACTACAAGATTGCTCGGTGCGCGACGCGCCCCCGGGGGGGGGGGGGGGGCGACGCACACATAGCATTAGTATGTCGGGGTGCAGTATGTCGGGGTGACGCCGAGCACAGGCTTTCGGAGGACCGCGCGGACCTCCTGGGCCGGGCGGCGCCAGAGGCACCGCAAGGGGGGCCCAGCGCCGACCCGACACGCTGGAGCGGACCTCCGAAAGCGTATGGCCATACGCAGAGATTACGAAACGACGGCATAAGCCGAAACGTTCGGAGTTCTGCGCGCACGTCTTGGATCGGCACTGGACCCACCTCCCTGGCTAGCGGAGCGCGCCAGGGGCGGCCCCAGAGGCGCCGTCAGGAGAGCCCTGTGCCGATCCCATACATCCGCGCGGACCTCCGCGAGTGCATGTGTATGTAGGGATGTGTCCTTCGCACGCGGCTGTTTGCCATTGGATTATCCTCGTCCTCCTCCGTGGTTGGGCCTGGTGTTGATACCCACGGCCTGGTTGCCTCGGCCGAACCCCTTGCCGAAGCCCGCGCCGCCCTTCCCGTAGCCGCCCTCGGGGGAGTGGAGGAGGGAGGGAGGAGGAGGGAGGGGCGGAGGAGCGGAGGAGGAGGAGGAGGAGGAGGGAGAAGGGCGAGAGAAGGGAGGACGAGAAGGAGGAGGAGGAGGAGGAGGAGGGAGAAGGGCGAGAGAAGGGAGGACGAGGAGGAGGAAGAGGAGGGCGCTGAGGGCACAAGTACAAAGGAGCAAACACAACTAAGTCAGCAATGCCAACTTCGACAAAAACTTCGTCTACATTGTCTTAGACTTGGGACACAAAATTATACCAATCCCCACCAAGCGAGGGTGGGCATAGACAGTCAACCAAAGCCACATCACTGTGGCCGACTTGCCAGACATCAACCGTGGTGGCTTCCAAGTACTGAACACCCGACTTGAAGACGTACTAAGCAAATGGAAGGCCATGAGCTCTCACGACAGCAGATGCAACTGGGCACAGCGACCATACGACATCCCATGTTACCGCCGAGCCGACGACAGGCGAGATGGACAACCATTCAGACCAAACGACACTGAGAACCACGACGTACGACGACAAGTCAGAGTCTAACTTACATGGGAAAGGCTTTCCGACAACATTGACCACGACGTGGTACGACAAAGGCAGCCACACTACAACGAAGACGGCACCAAGAAGGACCTCAAGGAGGCACGATACAAGATGTACGATCAGCGGCACACGAAGAGATACCAATTCGCGCTAGATGAGAACAGTAGCACACATAACAAGAACCAAGCAACATGAACAGCACTTTCATCATATCAATGACCAACTCCAAGAACAACATTGTTTCAAGATCCGGGCTACGTTCACTCACTAACTGACTTGCAGACGTACTCCACACGTCGGGTGCAGCAGCTTTCCACCCACCATGGGCCACATCAATCGTCGACAGGTCCCACAGACACATTACATCACCGACAACGTACAAGCAACAAGACTACGTCGAGTTACAATAAGTAGACGACTACATCGCGGCCATGCTCATGACATGGACAGGTACGGTAAGAGAGCCACCACTACTAGCATCGTGACAGCCACAACCTCCACCAACACACTACGAGCTCTTATCGCCAACTCCTGGCAACCATGCCTTGCCACCAACCATCGGCGGGCTCACGCCCATACCTGCAGTCAACCTACACCCGCGCCGTCAGATGCGACCCGTGTTCACGATCAGCGGCTCAACTAAGGCCACACCTACGATGCACATGCCACACAAACACTAAGCACGATCTTTGTTTACAGACCGCCCAAACTGATAAAATTGATAAGGATCGACATTGGCATTCACCGTCTACAATGCGACTGGATTCAGCAGCAGTTAGAGCAAATAAGGCGATCGGAGAAAATCGAATACGACTATGGAGACAAATTCCGCAAATACGGCTCAGGCCACACGCTACCAACAGCATCACACCAAGTCATACTTCAGCTTGGCTTAAGAACCAAAAGAGACCACCAACAAGAACGGCCACCACCACAACCGACCCACGCACCTACGCCACTGCACAACCCCAAGTTGCCAACACCTACAGCGGCTCCAACTCACACACGACAGCAGACCACCATTCACAACCTTTGGGGAGACGAAGGAATCGACGCTGTATTACCAATAACCACAGATGGCTCAGAGGACGAAGGCAGCTACACTGACAACAGCGACGACTACAAGTACACTTGTACGCCCCTCATTCTTACGCCCCTACCACCACACAAGGGGCACGACATGCACTGCCCGACAAGCTGGACAACATACAGCACCAAAGACAGGACTGAAGACGACGACGGCAACGAGGACAGCTGGCACAACGCAGTCTACTACAACGCAGCCGTCAACACATACACCTACCGTTTTCCATAGCACCACCTGCTGCTACCAGGCTGGCATATATACTTAGACAAATGCAGCAGCGCCATCATCAAGCCTTGCCTCATCCACCACTCAGGCCTGATCCCCATGCGACTGGACTCTCAACATGTAAGCTTCCGCCTACCGAGCCGATCAAGTACTTAACGCTCAAGGACGCAAAGCCGACAGACTCACACCATCCACCGTAGCGACTACGTTTATAGAATCAACCACGTCTTCGGCTAGGACACAACCTACATCATTACGCAGAGAGTTACCCACGCAACGGTGACTTCAGAGCAGCAGCCAATATCACAATTAGACACCTGACCTCCTTGATTAAAGCACCAACGACAATGATGAATAATATTGCTGAGCAGGCCATACTCTCGGTTTCACAATGGCTTTGCTCTTGACAAGACGACGACGACACTATGAAGTACGACTATGCAGCACGCATACACAATACTGCACACCTGTTGCGGCAAAGATGTAACAGAAATGACTTGCCAGGCAACGACCACAACATCCCCAGAACACCATCAAGTTCTTCCAGCCGCGACCGCACCACTGAAGATACACCACCGCCAGCACAACAATCAGCTGCAGACACACAACAAGAAGCTACTTCTACGCCTGACCAGCAGCCGACAGGTACTGACACACCCGCCACGCAGCAGCCCAGCACCACTCGAGCAACCAGAAGCCAAATCCACCCACCTCCACCAAGCCTCAGGACCCTAATCACCTGCTCACCCCCCAAGGTTGCACGGGCACAACTCTGGCTAACTGAACAATAGAGCTACCACCATAACGTTTGCCACCAGGCAGACCTACGTCCGACCAAAAGCGTCACCGATCCACCTACAAGACGGACAAAGAGGATCCACTCCGATGCCTACATTAACAGGGTACCTCGGAAAGCACGATGCCGCAGACTGCAACGATCAGATGCTCCTGCAGCTCATGGAGAAACTACGCCACCACTAGCAGCAACACCAACAACATGTAGCAGAAGTGCGACAGCGCAGCCTACGCAACGCAGAACTACGACAACTTCAGGATATCACTACTGCGATAGAAGCACCAGCCATGCCCAAGCCCTAGTTTCAAGTACCTGAACACAAAGCGCCACCAACACCGAAGCCAAGGTTCTCCACCGCACAAACTGACGGCAGTGACTACTGGGGGTAGCAGACAAACCCTGCACGGAGTGGCCTCAACATGACAAATACGGTACAAAACTTTTGGATGGCACACATGCTTACCACACATTACCAAAACGATGGCGTGGCCGAACATTGGGACAGCAGTGCGGCGGTGGTTTGGTAGAGTCTATGACCTCACACCTTCCACAACTACGGCTTGCAGAACATCGATGAGAGCACAGCGAGGACTTCTGATTGCCATGTTCCTTTGCTTAGTCCGGTCCCCTCTTTCTACCGAGGCTCCTCCAGCTTCGTCCGTCTCGGTCGTCTCGTCTCGGTCGTCTCGTCTCTCCCGCTTCTCACGCCTTCCCGCTCCTGCTGTCGGCCATTGGCCTCTCCTCACCCCCCAAGGGGTCGTGCCTGGCTGGCTGGTGTACGGTGTACGCTGAGCTCCCGTGTGTCCGCTTGCGGCTACCTGGGAGGTTGGCGGTCGCATCCTTCGGCGTGCTGCCTCCCCTGCTCCCCCCTTGTCTCGCCCAGTGTTGCTGCCTGCTGACGAGCCGCGCGCGAGGTCCCGCTCGGCCTTCTCAGCCATGCTTCTCGATGCCCTCGTGCCCTTACGTCCAGCCTCCGACAGTTTGCGGTACTGCCCTCGGGGCAAGTTGGATGGGAATGACTTGGTGGCAGGGCGCTCAGGAGGATGGTTGGGGACGGATGATTCCCGCAGCGCAGTAGCACATCTTACTCCTCATGTTTAAGGCGCCTTCCAGGCCCCCCTACTAGGGCGTGGCCCCGCAACAGAGATTACCAGCCTATGTGTCCATCGTTTGCCAGATTGCTGCACTTCTGCCTCCACTTGCTCGTGCCTGACCTGTCCCTGCCATACTGCCCAAGCCTCCTACGACCCACTGCTCTCGGCCAGGCAGAGCCGGCCAAGCAGAGTGCTCCTTACGAGGAGAGCTGGCGGTGCGATGTTCTGACCTGCTTGCAAACCTACTAACGGTGGAGGGTACGTTGGCGAATGATGTGGTTGGGGTCGGGGTCGGGAGGAGGTTCACAGCAGACCGCAGTTGCACATCATGTTACTCAACATCACGTTTGTCCAGTCCTGCTGCTGTACCTTCAGCAATACTTCCCCATCAGCCAAAGCTAACATGACAGCTTCAAGCGCGTAGGAAATCTCTTCAAGGCGGCTCATCACAATTACAGTTGCCAGTTCTGTAGCACTATACCCTCAGCTGTTGTATGTCGACTAGATATGCCCTGCTTGCAGCTACTCTTCCAGCAAGCAGTATGGATAGAGCTTACGATCGCGACCATGTTGGCACGTCGGTACGGGACGAATATACCAGATGAGTCTAATATCAACTAAATTGCTATACTTGCTATCTCCTGCCCGTCACCAGCAGTATCGTTTACAAGTCTGTATCGCCAGACTCGCTGCCTTGGGATGGTGGTGGGGATGCGAGTTGGTTTAAGTATTTGAGCGGGTACAGGTGATTGGCAGCAGCAGGCCGCAGTATCACATCTTGCTCCTCGACATTCAAAGCGCATACAGCTTTATCTCAAGCCCCCCTACTATAGGGTGTGGCCCCACAACAGTTATCAACTGCCTCTTCAGCGCCAGTCTTATATTGGACACATTCATTACCACTGCGCGCTTTTCTTCTCGCAAGGCGGTCCCTCAATTTCAAGTTGCCACCTCTGGTGGCAGTACGGGAAGAGGTTTCGGGGCGGGGGTGGTTGGACGGGGTGGTGGTCCACGATCACCCTGCACTTCTCACTTAGTTTGAGGTGGTCTCTTGCCAGATCGAGGCTGATCAGCATTTTCGCCAGCACCGCATTCGTGGGCCAGCATTTACATTTTGCAACTTTACGCACAGGCCAGCCTCTCCGGTTTGCGACAGCCCCTCGGCACGGTCACATCACTCGGGCCAGCCTTACTCCTCATCTTCCCCATGCACAGGCCAGCCTCTACAGCTTCAGGCAGCCCACTCAGCACGACAATAGTACAAGCTTCGTTGGAGGTAGTGCGATCTACTTGGGATGCGGGGTGGGGGATGAGCCGTGGCCGCGAGGGAAGTGACAGGGCACGCCAGAACGCAACGCCCACTGCATCACCGCCAAGAGGCGGCACTCATCACCCCATACTTACCGTGAGCCTGTATGTTTAGCCAGCTAATGTATACACTGCCTGCCACAAGCCTCATGTTCCCACTCTCTATTGCGTCGCCTCTCTCTTTGCCACATGGCTAGACCTACAATGCGGGTACGGAGAATCTGAATTAGACTCGTGCCCTCAGGCCGACCTGACCTGCAGCGTCAGCTGGTACAATGGCTACCCATTGATTACGCACGAGAATGTAATCCTTTTACTCGCGGGAGGTGGCGGGTTGGTTTCATCTATTGGAGGGAAGGGGCACAATACTTGCACTAGCTTGGCGCCAGACCACCTGCAGCTGTAGTTAGTCTCCCTCGTTCGGTATTCATACTCGTCATCATGGTCATTGCGTGTCTTTCCTTGTCTCCTCTTCGGCATCTCCCCCAGTGCTGGTGGCGAGCGCTTACTCTACGCCCCTGAGGGCCTCTATCTGCAGCTTAGCTGCTTCGCACTCCTTTTCCCGCAACGCCCTCCACTCAAGCCTGACTTGGCCGTTTCTTCGCCCAAGTCGGCGATATGTTTTCTCACTGCATCGCTAACGCCACAAGCTTGCTCTTCAGGTACGATCAACGTCAAAAAGGAACATGGAAAAGAGGTAAGCCCCGCCGCCCTTCCCGAAGCCGCCCTCGGAGGGCGAGACAGGGGAAGACGAGAAGGAGGAGGAGGAGGAGGAGGAGGAGGAGGACGAAGAGGATGAGGAGGACGAGGAGGACGAGGAGGAGGACGAGGAGGAGGACGAGAGAGGGGGGGAGGAGAAGGAGGAGGAGGAGGAGGAGGAGGAGGAGGACGAGGAGGACAAGGAGAAGGAGGACGAGGAGGACGAGAAAGGGGAGGACGAGGAGGACGAGGAGGAGGAGGACGAGGAGGGAGGAGGAGGAAAAAAAGGAGGAGGAGGAGGAGGAGGCAGAACAGCAAAAGAAGCCGCGCCAACGAACTTGCGGGGGCGCGAACTTCCCAGGCCGGGCGCTGCACCTCCCCACGCCACTTCTGCGGCGCGTGGAACGCGCCGGGGCCGGCGCCGGAGGCGCCGCCAGGAGCCAGGGGTGCGGTGAAAGGTTCCCGGGCCCAGCGCCAGCGCGAGAAGTGCGCACGGACCTCCGAGAGACGTTCTGTCGGCCCCGCGAGAGGGGTGAGGAGGAGGAGGAGGTGGAGGAGGAGGAGGAGGAGGAGGAGGGACGAGCGCGGAGGAGGGTGGGGAGGGGGCCCTCCTCAAACAATCCCCCCCCGTCTTCTCCTGGGGTGCGCTGCCACCAGAATTTCGAACGGGGGCCCAGCCATGGGCCTTGTGTGGGCCAGGCGGCCCACACAAGGCCCAGAAGTACCCAGAACTCTCGATCCTCCACCCTCGAGGGAGGAGGAGGAGGAGGAGGAGGAGGAGGAGGAGGAGGAGGAGGAGGAGGAATCGAGGACTGAGGAGGAGGAGGAGGAAAGGAGGACCAGAAGGACGTAGGTGGACGTAGGAGGAGTAGAAGGACGAGGAGGACAAGAGGAAAGGGGAGAGGAGGAGAGAGGAGGACGAGAAGGAGACAACGACGAGGAAGACGAGAGGAGGCGGCTGAGAGGGCACATTGGGGAGGCCCACGAGAAGCTGGGCGTGATCACATTACCCAGCTGTGCCTTTCCGCCACAGCCGCCCTTGCCGCCGCCACCGCAGTTCCTGCACGCGGCGTTCCGGGCGAACTGGAGGTCGTTGCAGAAGGGGCATATCCAGTCCCCGGGCCGCGCGACCTCGAGTTGGAGTGGGAGGGCGACGAGGCGAAGGAGAATGATAAGAAGGACGAGAAGGCGGAGGAGGAGAAGGAGGAAGAGGAGGAGGGCGACAACAGAACGACGAACGACGGGGAGGAGAAGCAGGAGGAAGAGGGCCGCAACGATGATGATGTTGCTGATGATTATCATGATGGCGATGATGATGATGATGATGAGGAGGAGGAGGATGAAGATGATGCTGATAGTGATGATGATGATGATGGTGACGATGATGATGATGATGATGATGACGATGATGATGATGATGATGATGATGATGATGATGACGAGGATAGTGATGGTGATGGTGATGGTGATGGTGATGGTGATGATGATGATGCTGATATTGATGCTGATGCTGATGATGATGCTGCTGATGATGATGTTGAGTATACTGATGATGATGACGATGGTGGTGGTGGTAGTGGTGATGATGCTGGCGATGATGATGACGATGACGGTGGCGATGATGATGACGATGACGGTGGCGTTGACGATGACGACGACGATGCCGATGATGATGATGATGCTGATGCTGATGACGATGATGATGATGATGATGATGATGATGGTGATACTGATGATGATGACGATGATGATGATAATGATGATGGTGATGATGATGGTGATGATGATGATGATGTTGATGATGATGATGATGATGATGCTGATGATGATGATGATGATGATGATGATGATGATGATGATGATGATGATGATGATGATGATGATGATGATGATGATGATGATGATGATGATGATGATAGTGGTGGTGACTGATGATGCTGATGATGCCGATGAGGAGGAGGAGGAGGAGGAGGAGGAGGAGGAGGAGGAGATACGACCAGGAGCGGGAGGAGGACAGGGTGGAAGAGCGGGGGAGAGGGAGGGAAAGAACGACGACAGCGAGGGCGAATGGAGGGAGGAGGAGGAGGAGGAGTAGGAGGAGGAGGAGAAGGAGGAGGAGGAGGGGGAGGAGTGGAAGATGAGGAGGAGGATGGGGGAAGCTGTAGACAGGAACGCCGCGGCAGCGGGCTCGGCGCGGGCAGTGGCACTGCCGTGGCAGGAGGCAGCAACGTGAAAGATGAGGGTGTCGACCTGCCCATTCTCGAGCACCGTGCTCTCCTCGGTTACACGGAAGAAAGATGTTACGAGCGGCGATGAGACCCATGTCTACACCCTCGCGGTCCGCAGTCGAGGGCACGATCCCATGAATACGCTGTCGCACGGATGCGTTCCGCGCGGGGCATACTCGAAAAAGCGCCCTTATCCATGGAGTCGCGGCCCAGGGGCCTGGCCAGCGAGGCTGTGGATGTAGGCACGCTTCCCATTCCCGAAGATTGACCCTGGTCTGCCGAGCGGAAGAGCACCGCCTGTGTCCGGAAACGTTTTTCCCCTGGTCCAACATGAAATCGGCGAGGTATCACCACTGCCACCGTATTCTGCAGGTGTAGCACGGTGAGAGGATCTTCTTCGTTCCGCCAGCTGCTCCAAGAAGGCGTGCTGCTCTTGCGCAGGAGGCCAAGGAGTCTACTGGACAAGGGGGCTCCCCCCTCCACATGGGGAACACACACTACTACAACCCTCGTCAAAAATAAACTGAAGGATTATGTTTTCGGTGATTGTATGGTCAGCGCTACTCCAATGCTGACGCTAGATATCTGACGTGGACGCAAGGGCCTCAAAAATCCGACGACCCCTCCGCAGCATTGAAGAACGCAGTTTCTAACAAGTGCCCGAGAAGATCGATCGTCGTGATTTCCAACTTTGTTTCTGTTTATTTTTGACGAGGCTTGTATGGTCCCGTCGGAGTGGGCAAGAGTGACCTGTGGTATGTGTCTTGCCGATCGTTGCATGCGATGCGGCAGTCGCGGCGTGCGTGGCTGGGCTTGCCCCCGCTGCGCCACCCCCTCTCTCCGCCCCCCGAAGACCCCAGCAGAAGAGTAATCGACCGCATAACCATGGACTTTCGGAGGTCCGCTCGCATGTCTTGGATCGGCGCTAGGGCCCCCTCCCTGACGCGTGGATCTGACTACCTACCAGACCACCCCAACCCAAGCCGAAGACCCGAATTTGACCCGAATTTCGGGTTGGGGGGGTACGGGTTCCATGTCTTTTTCAATGTTCCCCGACCCCCCCCACTGGAAAACGAGGATAAATTTGGGCCTTCGGGTTGGGTTGGGGTGGTTTGGTGGGTGATGAGGATCGCGCCAGGGGCGGCGCCAGAAGCGCCGCCAGGAGGGTCCAGCGCAGATCCAAGAAATCCGCGCGGAGACTCGAAAGTTTGTGCGTGTGCCGATGCGTGTTTTTCTTCTTCGACGCACACCACTGGTCACTCCAGATAAGGACAACAAAGAATGTGAGTCTCAAGTTACTGCTCCGTCTGAAAAAAAAAACCTCTGGGGCCGAGAATGATGAATGCCTGAGCGGCCAAAGGTCGCCGGAGCCGCGTTGCTCGACCTCACGCGATTCACGGCAGGCAGCAACAACTGAAATGTCAGCCGGGGGTCACAATACCAGGGGAGGGGAGAATAACAAATCTCCCGCCGCCGCGAGTGCTGCTCCCCCCCCGCGAGAGAGATGACGGGGGGCGCCCTCCCTCAATAACTCTGGGGCTGCGGTCGGGGACCTTTGCATAGCGTGTCGTGGCGGCGGCCCCAGCGACACGCCATGCCCTGCAAGCGGATAGAGTGTCGTTCCGCTCCGCGGGGCGAAAGGCTAGGAAAGGCTCGGGACGTTGGCGCTTGGGAATGGGAGCGTGGATAGCGTGTCGCGCCGAAGCGTAGTGGGCCAGAACCTGCGGAGCGACACACTGAGCCAAAGTTCCCGACCGCACAGTCATGGTACTGCCAGAAGGAACGCTACGTAAGGAACGAAGCACCTTTTTGGCGCCAGAAGAGCCTAAGTGCCCGAGGAGGGCAAAAAGAACAACTGCGGAATAACCTGAGGGAGAGCGAGCCCACTTCGAACTCAAAGCGGTCCTTGTTTCAGCATCTTGACTGTAGTCATTACGTGTGGCCGAATCCTGCGACTTGCCCTTGCCCTTGCAGCCGGCGCCGCAGGTGCGGCAAGACATGTTGCGAGCGAACTGGAGGTCCTCGGGCAAAAAAGGGCCAGTGAGCCGCACCTCCCCCCCCTTTCCTCCTCGCCTTCACACGCTCCCAGCCATTGCTCCTCCTCGTTCTCCCTCTCCTCCTCCTCCTCCTCCTCCTCATCCTCCTCCTCCCCCTCCCCCTCCCCCTCCCCTCCCCCTCCCCTCCCCCCCCTCCTCCTCCTCCTCCTCCTCCTCCTCCTCCCTCCTCCTCCTCCTCCTCCTCCTCCTCCTCCTCCTCCTCCTCCTCCTCCTCCTCTTCCTCCTCCTCCTCCTCCTCCTCCTCCTCCTCCTCCTCCTCCTCCTCCTCCTCCTCTCCTCCTCCTCCTCCTCCGCCTCCGCCTCCGCCTCCGCCTCCGCCCCGCCTCCGCCTTCTTCTCCTCATCCTCCTCATCCTCCTCCACCTCCTCCACCGCCTCCTCCTCTCTCTTCCCCTCCTCCTCCTCCTCCTCCTCCTCCTCCTCCTCCTCCTCCTCCTCCTCCTCCTCCACCGCCTCCTCCTCTTCCCCCTCCTCCTCCTCCTCCTCCTCCTCCTCATCATCATCATCATCATCAGCATCCCCATGGTCCCAAGCACAAGCGGCGCGCGACTGGGCGCCCCCCCCCCTTCTTGGCTCCAGCAGGCCATGCAGCCACTCTCGGCGTCTCATCGCGACGTGCTTGTGGCAATCTGGATCCTGCAGCATTTACCGGTGTGTGTCTTGCTGTTATCGATGGGTTGGCTCTTTTTCCTCAGCAGCCTCCTCATCGGTGCTGTCCACGTGTGATTTTGTGTTCTACTTCGTCCACGTCGCGTTCGTGCTGACAGGGTGCAGACTGGGCCCTTTTGTGCCTGAGTTTTCAAGCTTTCCTGTGCATCGATTTCGTGGTCCGTCCCAGGCTGCAGGGGCAATGGGGGGAGCCGCTGACATTTGCCCACCCGCCTGCGGTCTGAGCGTACTTCAGGCGAGCGGGGGTTACTGTCGCGATCGTCGAGGAGGACATTCGCCCCAGGTGCAAGGTCGATGGCGGGAGCCTGGCATTTACCCACCCGCCTCAGGTCTGGGCGTATTTCAGGCAAGCGGGTGTTGCTGTCACGACCGTCGTGGAGGACATCCGCCGCAGGTGCAGGGTCGATGGGGGGAACCGCTTGACTGACCCACCCGCCTGCGACCTGGGCGTATTTCAAGCGTTGCGCTGGAGTGGTGGCTCTTGGTATGCATTGAAAGTTCGTGGGCACGCCCCCTTATCTCGCCATGACCAATTTCACTCTCTCTGTCTCTCTCTCTCTCTCTCTCGTTCTGTCTTTCTCTCTCTCTCTCTCTTTCTCTCTCTCTCTCTCTCTCTCTCTCTCTCTCTCCTCTCTCGATCGATCTCTCTCTCTCTCTCTCTCGCTCTCTCTCTCTCTCTCTCTCTCTCTCTCTCTCTCTCTCTCTCTCTCTCTCTCTCTCTCTTACTGGCCTTACATGTGCACAGAGGCTTGGAAGAGGTCAAGAGATCAGTTCGTGTTCGTAGGCGGATACGGTCTCTTCTATTGGTATTGCGGGGCTGCCTGTGGAGTCGTTGGGGGGGTGCCCGATGACCAGTGATGAGTTGCCACATCATTTCACAAGGGACGCATCGAGCCGATTTCACCTCAGCTGAACTTTGCCAATATCTATGGTGCTGGCCGTGCTCGTATATTCCGTTCCCTCATCTGCTTGGAGATGGTCAGTGGGTGGACTTAATTGTTGATTCGTACTGTGGGCATTGTCCTGGGACTCGTAATATTAATATGACTCGTACTCTTACTCGCACTCTTAATATTACGCCTACTCCTCGTTGCCAAACGGGCCTCTCGCGCGGTCATGTCGGAATCGCTCGAACGCCCTTGCGCGCGTGCTGTCGCAAGAAACCCTTGTGAAAAACAGGGCGAAGTGCACGCGCGCGCGTCGTCGCGCGCGCATGCGGCAATTATTCGAAAACCTCGGGTTTCGCAAGGATGTCAAAATCGAGTGCCCCGAAAACATTTAAACACACATGGTTACGCAACATGAGTTTTCACAAATGCCTGCGCTCACGCTCCTGCGTATTCTGAGGACTGCAGAAATCCGCCGCCCCCTGTCGATTCATCCCAGGGGTACCTGGCGTGCTGGACCTCTCGGTTTTGTTTTTGGTTCTTTTTCCAAAAGAACTCCCCCTGGCGCGTCGGCCCGTCCCGCCGGGGTCCCGGGAGGCCCTTCCAGGAGCGCAGAGTCCCAAAAAAATCCTCCAAGACGGCTCCAGATGGCGTCCAAGATGGCCAAGATGGCCCAAGATGGCCTTCAAGATGGTCCAAGATGGCCTCCAAGACGGCCCGAGAGAGTCCAAGACGGCCCAAGACGGCCCAAGAGGCCCCCCAGAGGCCTCCCAGACGGCCCAAGAGGCCTCCAAGAGGTCCTCCAGGAGGGCCCGAAGAGGCCAAAATCATTGTTGTTCCTTAGGTTTTTGAAGTATTTGGGAATTTGCTTCTTCTCGGCATTCCGACGGCTCAAGACGGCCCAAGAGGCCTCCAAGATCGCCCAAGAGGCCCCCAAGAGGGCCCCATGACGGCCCAAGTGGCCTCCAAGATGGCCCCAAGAGGGCCCCAGGACGGCCCAAGAGGCCTCCAACACGCCGAAGATGGCCTCCAAGACGCCCAAGATGGCCTCCAAGACGGCCCCGAAGCGCCCCAAGACGGCCCCAAGTCGGCCCAGAAAGGCCCCCAAGACGGCTCCCGACGGCGTCTGACGTGCCAGGAACCCACCAAGATGGCCGAAGTTGGCTCAAAGCTGGCCCAAGACGGCCCAAGAGGCTCCCAAGAAGGCCTCCAGGAAGGCCAGAAGAGGCCAAAAACAGTGAGTTTCCTAAAATATCTGACGGATTTTGACATTTGCTTCTTTTCGGCCTTCCGACGGCCCGAGACGGCCCAAGAGCCCCCAAAGATCGCCGAAAGATCGCCCAAGAGGCCTCCAAGATGGCCCCAGAACGGCCCAAGAGGGCCCCAAGGCGGCCCCAAGAGCCCCCAAGACGGCACAGGAAGCCTTTAAGACGCCCAAGATGGCCTCCAAGACGGCCCTGGAGCATTCCAAGAGGGCCCCAAGTCGGCCCATAGAGGCCCCCCAAACGGCTTCCGACGGAATCAGACGGACCAGGAGCCCACCAAGACGGCCGAACATGGCCCTAAGATGGCCCAAGACGGCCCAAGAGGCCTCCAAAAGGGCCTCCAGGAAGGCCCGAAAAGGCCAACATCATTGATTTGCCATGGGTTGTTGAAGGATTGTGGCATTAGTTTTGTTCTGCCTTCCGACGGCCCGAGACGGCCCAAAAGCCCACAAAGATCGCCCACGAGGCCCAAGACACGGCCCCGAGAGACCCCCAAGACGGCCCAAGAGGTTTCCAAGACGCTCAAGATAGCCTCCAAGACGGCCCAAGAGCCCTCCAAGACGTCCTCCAAGAAGGCCCGAAAAGGGTCAGAATGGCCTCCAGACGGCACAGATGACCTTCAAGATGCCCACGTGTTCCCCGAAGGCTTTCCAAACCGACTCGGGGAGCACATGGTCCGATAGCTTGGCAGGCCTCTGGCCACAACCTTCGGCCACATAGGCGCTTCCACAAAGGCATGGGGCGGCGGCGATTCGCCTTAGATGTCTTCGATCCATCGGTTGTTCAACACGTCCATTAAATTCGGCCAAACGGGCCCCTCACGCCGCGCGACGGAATCATCCGAACGCCCTTGCGCGCGTGCTGGGGGGGGTCATGATCCGTGTCAAATAATACCATGCGGGCCACTTTCGCGCGTCGGCCGGGCGCGCATGTGGAACTCCCTCCAAAACATTCATCGCCAACGCGAAGGCGCCGTCACCGTCGTCGGCGCAATCAGCATCGGCGCCACCACTGGAATTGATGTCGTCGTTGTCACCATCGCCACCAGCATCGATGCCATCATCATCGCGTCTACCGTTGTCGACGTTGCCATGATACCGCGCCCGCCCAAATCGCCAAGTCGCACTGAAGTGCCCACTGGGAAATGCCCAGCGGCGAGCGCCACCGCGGCGGCGTCGGTAGCGCCAATATATATATATATAAATATAAATATATATATATAGGATATATATTATATATGTAATATATATATATATATCTATATATATATATATAAAATATATATATATATTATATATCGACGCTGCGCGCGCGAGCATGCGCGGGCTAGCGCCGCCGCAAAAGCCAAATCCAAGCACCCATCGCAATCGCCGCCGCATGGGTTTTGCTAACTAAATTGCGGGCGGGCGGGTTGGATAATTGCGCGAGCAGTGCAGTGGACAACTCACTGCGGACAGAAATACATTCTCCCGTGCACAAAAAAAGGAAAAAGGAATTGGGGCCCCTCCCCCAACTTTATGGGTACACCTTTTTTGTGTTGCAGTCTACATATGATTTCGACTACACGTAGGAGTGGCCCCAAGCTAAAATGACCTCTGGTGCGCGGCTTCAGGGGCGCCCGCGGGGGCCCAACGCAATCGCGCAAGCCGGCGCTGCCGTGCCGCATCAACCACGGCGGGCCGCCACTCGAAATATTTTTCGCGCCAGCGGGCATCCGCGGAATTCCGCCGACTGAGTTCGAGCGCCGCGAATGGCACTTCGAAGGCGGTGCGAAAGCAGACGCTGCCGGGGGCCACCGCGATGAGGTCTGGCACTGCTGGGATGCGTCGCGATGACGTCTGACCAGGCTCGGCGCCATGGCCAAAACCGGCCCCATCCGAGAGCCCGGAATATGTTTGAATATATTTGGATAACTTATAGTAGTAAAGACCCTCACTGGTTCGAAAAACATGTTCAAACATATTGAGACATATTCAAAGATATCCAAAGGTATCCCATGATATTCAAGCCAGACGTTTTGGGATTTGGGCTGGGATTCGGGACTGGTCCTGGACCACAAAACGCGACGTCTGGGCGACCGGCTCCCCTCGGGTAACCAATGCAAGCTGTAAGGTGCGACGCGTATGCGTCGATGTCGATTGCAAGGGGTGGGCCCAAACCTGGCGCGCTCAGATGCGAGCGTAATCGCGCGATGCGGGTGCCGACGCGAGGCCCAGCTCATTCCACAAGAAATATTACCCGACCCCCTTTGGGCCAGCACCAAAGGTCACTCCGGCGAAGGGTCACTCTTACGCGTAGTCGATGATTCTGCCCAATCGCCAATCCCAGCCGAGCCGGGCCCGGCCACCACCCCGCCTCATCCACTGCAAACACGATGCGCGCACACCCGTTTATCAAAACCCATCAGTTGTCACGAATCCCTTGCAAAAACTGAAACGATGTGCACACGCGCATGTCGTCGCGCGCGCATGGCGAAATCCTAAAATCGAGTGCCCCGAAAACATATAAAACACAAGTGGTTTCGCAACACAAAACTGTCGCGCGCTCCTGCGAATTCCTAAGGAACCCATCAATTTCTCAACATATTCATAAGTTTCAACCAAACGGGTTTCGCGCGCGCGTGCCGAAATCGTTCGAACGCCCTTGCGCGCGTGCCGTGGAGAGAACCCTTTCCAAAAAATGAAACGCAGTGCACGTGAGCGCGTCGTCACGCGCGCATGCCAAAATACTTGGCAAGCCTCTGGTTGCGTAACGATTTCAAAACCGAGCGTCCAAGAACCATTTGAACAAACACACACACACATGGATTCGCAACATCAGTTTGTTATCCAAAAAAATTGCGCGCGCGCGCTCTTGCGAGTTCTTGAGAAAACCATACGCTCTTCAACAAATGCATGGATTTCTGCCACACGGGCTTCTGGCGCCGCACGCCGACATCATTCGCACGCCCTTGCGCGCGTGCGGGGGCGTGACGATCCGGTTCAAGTAATACCATGCGGGCCACTCTCGCGCGCCGGTCGCGCGCGCATGCCAAACTCTTTTAACGACGCGAGAACGCCGTCATCGTCGTCGGCGTGATCAGCATCGGCGCCCGCACTGGCCGCGCCTTCGTCGATGCGAACATCGTCACCAGCATCGCCACGATCATCATCGTATCTACCGTTGTCGACGTTGCCATGATACCGCGCACGCCCAAGACGCCGACTCGCACTGAAGTGCCCGCTGGGATGCGCCCGGCGGTCAGCGCCACTAAGGCCGTGCCGGCGGCGCCAAACTAGCTAGCCGCTGCACGCGCGTGCTAGGGCCGGCGCGGCCGCAGAGATCCACCATCCAACGCCAAGCATGCATCGCAATCGCCACCGCATGGGTTTTGCAAACCAAGTTGCGGGTGGGTGGGTGGGATGTGTGCAACAGCAGGGGATGTGCCAACCCGTTTGTTAAAATCAACTGCATACGTAGATTGTAGAACATAAGTTGCTCCACATAGACTGCTCAATATAGAGTGTGAGTCATAGTTCGCAGCACTTCTATCGCACAGCATAAGTTACACAACATAGATTGCACAACATAGATTGAACAGCGCGTCCGATTAGAAACACACTGTTTAAGGTCCACGTTGGATAACATGTGTATTGATGTGTCATCTTCCTCATCCCTCCTCCTAGACGCCCTGATGTGGAGCGCCTCCAGGGCACTTGAAGTCCGCGCACCCTCCCGTGGCACCTCGCACAGGGAGACATGGGATCGCTGACTGACCTTCGGTCCTTGCACACCGGGCAGATCCAGTCGCCCGGCTTGGCCTCGTGGGTCGCCGTTGCTGGCACGTTCTGAATCCTCCCGCGCAGGAGGTGGAGGACGAGGACGAGGAGGAGGACGAGGACGAGGAGGAGGAGGAGGAGGAGGAGGAGCAGGAGGAGGAGGAGGGGGCAGGGCTACGGAAAGGCGGAAAGGCGGATGGGGGGCCAGGCAGAGGCGGAGGAGGGGAGAACGGCGGCGGAGGAGGAGGAGGAGGAGGCGAGGGCGGAGGCAGAGGCGGAGGCGGAGGCGGAGGCGGAGGGGGATGAGGCAGAGGGGGAGGAGATGGCGCAGCCAGACGCAAAGGAATAGCAGGTGGAGCAGGGGGGGCATCGCCATCTGCTGCAGCAGCGGCAGCACCATCGGCACCGGGGGGGGAGAGTGCACGCTGCTGACGCCTCGAGCTCCCGCCACCGCGGGCTGGTGCATGATCTGGGGGCGCATCCGTCGCGATTTGCTCCGATGATCCTCAAGACTCGTGTTGGCGCCAACGTGTGTTTGTGCACCGAAGCCCTTCAATACGACGCAGACTGTGCAACAAGGGGCCAACACAGGCTGCGTGTTACTGGCGAAGCTGAACGGGGTTCACACGCATTGGGTTAACACACATCCTCAAGATCCTCGATCTTTCCTGTGTGGGTCCCTGGGGACACTGGGAGGGTAAGTTCTCGCGGGGTACCCGCTGACAACTGCTGGCAGGTCCGTCTGTCATGTGATGCGCCCACCGCAAGGAAACAGTGGTGACTAGAACGACACTGGTGCCATGATACGATTGGCTCAGGATACTTCCAATGGCTTCCCGAGCAGCTAGCGGCCCTCGTACCTGGGGCTCGTGCGGCAATCTGGGGAAGCCCCGGACCTCGTGAGCCGCATGGCTGTCATCGGTGAAGCAAATGGTATCGATGCCGCGAATTACTCCCCAGACCTCTCCCGGGGCGCATTCTGACCAGAGTTTCGAGGCGAATCCAGCGGAGGCGACAAGGGCCTCACAGAAGGCCGAAAATTACCCCCCAGACCTCTCCCAGGGCGCGTTCTGGCCAGGATTTCGAGGCGAATCCAGCTGTGGCGACAAGGGCCTCCCAGGAGGCACAGAAAGGGAAAAGCGCGGGAAGGGTAGCAGAATCGGTCCCTTGTTCCTCCTCTGATGTTCTGACTTTTGGGCAAGAAATCCTCCTCCTCCCCCTCCTCGTCCTCCTCCTCCTCCTCCTTCTCCTCCTACTCCTACTCCTACTCCTACTCCTACTCCTACTCCTACTCCTACTGCTCCTCCTCCTCCTCCTCCTCCTCCTCC